CCGGCCGAGCGCGGAGGACGGCGGCCAGCCTCGGACCTCCGGAGCTTCCCGGGGCCGCGCTTTGGCAGCACTCTGACTACAGCTCCCAGAAGGCCCTGCGAGGGCGGGGCGCCGGCGGCAGCGTGCGCGCATGCCCCGGGGCGGCTGACCAATTGTGCAGGACCGTGAAGCCACGCCCCCGCGGCGCATAGGTGCGCGGTGAACGACGTTTGCGGAAAAGGTCCGGAAGTTTTCTAGCGCCCAGCAACTTCCGCCGGAAAAAATCACAGCCGGGTCAGCAAGGACTCTCGCCCCGTGAACCCGCAGTAGGTCTGCAGAGCCTTGCGGCGGGAGCCGGGAAGGCTGGAGAGCAGAAGGAAGTCTGTTTTAGCCGTAGGAGTCATCCCAAGGGCCGCGATCGTAGCGCGCAGCTGTAGTGCAAGCGGCGAGGCCCGGGCCGTCAGGGGCCTAAAGCGCAGACGCGGCGAGCCGGGGAGGAGGCGTGGCCTACGACCCCGGCTCCGAGACGGGAACCCCGAGCCCGCCGTGAAGCGGGTCCGGGAGCCCCAGGCCGAGGCTCGTGTCCGGAGGCCGGAGGAGCCCTGCTCCCCGAACTCCCAGAGACCGAGGAGACGTCCTTGCCGGCCCCACCGCCTCTACCTCTGCAGCCCTCGGTGTACGCCCGCGCGTCCAAGTGCGGGTCCCTCCCCCGGAGCAGGTTGAGGTCCAGCCCGAGGGCGGTGACAGCGGCCTCCTCCTGCGGACCACAGCGTCGCCTGCCCCGCCCGCCCCTGCTCGTTTCTCCGTGTCCTGCGGCCGCAGCGGGTGGCAGCCTCGGCCACAGGGAATCCGTCCTGCTGAGGACCGGGCGGAGCGCCTGGGGGCCTGCGACTCCTGGGGAGGCATCCCAGCCCAGCACTGGGAGATCTGTTGGGCAACATCCAGGGGCTCTTCCCGCCCTAGGCACCTCGCGGAAGCCGCACGTTCTCCGGGAGCTGCAGGCACGGAGAACAGCCCAGCCTTGAACTCGCCGTGAACCTCCTGCCTCAGCCTCCCGAGTGCTGTGACCCATTCAGCCTTGCCCTGCCCATGATTTATATCATTTGGCGTCGACCACTAGGCTTGGTCAGGGAGCCACTGTTCCCTCCCACGGAGTGAGGGACCCAGGGCTTGTCCCCCAGTGCGACTTCCTGCAGAGACGTGAACGCTTCATCGAAGGGGAAGGCTCCCCTCTCGAGCTCATACCAGGTCGCCAGCCGACCTGGATCGCCAAGGGCAGGAGGCATGGCTCAGGCCAACAGGACAGCCCTTGGACCGTCCTCAAGGACACGGCTGGGGCTGGGAATTTAGCTCAGTGGCACAGCGCCTGCCTGGCAAGTGCAAGGTCATGAGTTCGATTCCCGCTACCGGAAAAAAAGAAAAAGAAAAAAAAAAAAAAAAGGCACGGCTGCACAGGATCTTCTTCTTGTGTACCCCCTGGTGCTCCCGGCTTTTTGGCAAGGTTGACACAAGTGACTCCATCTTGATTTTACAGTTCTGCAATCAGCAGCGTCTGTATTTACTTTTGCTTTGTTTTGCGTTTGGTTTCTCATTGCTGGAAGGTTCTTCTGGCTACCGGTTTTTTTGTTTTCTGGTACTTGGAGTGGAACCCAGGGCCTTCACACTGAGCTCCATTCTCAACCCTTTTTTAAGTTTTGAGACAGGGTCTCTCTAAGTTGCCTAGTCTGGGCTCCAACTTATGATCCTCCTGACTCAGCCTCCCCAAGTGCTGGGATGGTAAGTGTGCACCACCACACTCAGCTCCGGTTGTTGGTCTTATCGGGCCTCACAGAGGAAGGGAAGAGATGGATGACTCAGTCAGTGCCCACCCTTTAGCCACAGCAGAGCAACGCTGCGGAGTAGAGGGGCAGCTCTGGGCTGTTTACCTGGAGTCACTGGCAGGTTCATCCCCTCCGCTGACTCTGTTAGAAGTTACCCTTCCACAGGGTTTCAGAACAACACAGTTTCTAACATTTATTTATTAGTTTATTTTTGAGACAGGGTCTCCCTATGTAACTCAGGCTGGCCTTGAACTCACAGTGATCCTCCTGCCTCAGCGTCCCAAGTGCTGGAATTACAGGTGTTTGCCCCAACTCCCCTCACCCCCCCCAACAAATACAGTTTTAAAAGAAAGATACAAAGTAAAAACAACCTTAGTTTGCAACCAAGAAACAGCAATTTTTACCAAGTTTTAAAAAGCTATTTGTCTGTAGCCCCGATGCAGTCTTCCCCCAAATCTCAGTACCAGTGCTTTTAGAGCAGAGTCAGGCTGGGGCAGGACACGGAACACCCGCAGTGAGGACTGCGACGAGAGCCCAGCAGATGACAATCCAGCTACATTAGATCAAAGTCTTACACAACCGTGCAAAACGCTCCCTCACAGAAACACACTCCCTACCAACCATCTCGACATCTCCTCTGTCCCCCTCCGTGATTACAGGCTCTGTTCTTTCGTTGTCAGAGAAAGATCTTGAAAGTCAAACTGCCAGCCAGGTGTGGTAGCACAGGCCTGCAATCCCAGCACTCGGGAGGCTGAGGCAGGAGGATAGCCATGAATTTGAGGGCAGCCTAGGCTACATGGTGAGTTCAAGGCTAGCCTGTACTACTTAGCAAGACCCTGTCTCATAAAACCAAAAAAAAAAAGCTGGGCGTGGTGGCACGTGCCTGTAATCCCAGCACTCGGGAGACTGAGGCAGGAGGATTGTTGCGAGTTCGAGGCCAGTCTGGGCTACAAAGTGAGCTCAAGGCCAGCCTGAACTGCATAGTGAGACCCTGTCTCAAAAAGACAAGAAAAAAAAAAAAAATGTTGAATTGCTGTAGCTGAAACATGGAAATAAACTATATTTAAATAGTTTTATGTGAAAATTCTGAGACAGCATAGAGCAAAACAAAATTTCCAATTTATAAAAAGGAGAGCTGAATCCAAGTTACAATGACAATAAAAGTCACCCGTCCACAGGGGCAAACTCCGCGAGGAGCAGCCTCACGGGAGGCGGCGGCGCCGGGCGGTCAGTCCTGAGCCCGCTGCAGGGGTGCTGCGCGGTGGGCGGTGGGCGCGGCCGCCCGGCTTTGCCAGCCGCCCC